AGTGCGGTGCACTCTGGCCGCTGTCTTACGCCGGTTTTCCTTTTTAAGCGCATCTGCCCATATTTCAGCTCCGTATAATAAAACGCTGATTGTTGTCGACATCAGGAGCTTTCTTTTTTCTTGACTGGGGCCTCCTATGTTGGCCATTAGTCGGCTCAGGTGAGAGGTGATCTTCGCTGCCTTACCTGCGGCGTGCTGGACAGAGACATGGGTTTATCAGTTTGATATGTAAACAAGTAAAAAATTATCAAAATCTAAAAGATGAAACGAGCCTAAACAACCAAAAAAAAAAAAAAAATTTCTCTTTAAATGCGTTTTTCTCAAAAATATATTTTTAAAATTTGCTTCAGTTATTAATGGAGAGAAAGCTTACTACATATTAACGTGAGAATTTTTGAGGCATGAAAAAGTACATTTAGGCCAAATTTTGTGAAAGAAAAAAAATGTGTTTTTGAGAAAATAAAAAACATTGAATTTGTATATAAATTTTATAGTTTTGTGAAAAAAGTCTGTAAACAGAAGTTATAGATCTTTTAGTTACCTACAATTGCCTTTTATTATTTTTCTATGGGGCTTGTAGTTTTGCCGAAAATCGAGGTAAGCCACTTTTAACGCTTGAAATGTCAAGCACACCCCTCCTCTTCCTTTCGTAGACCTCAAATCGCCTGTAATTTACTTTTCTTTTAATAATCCTCATTCTATCTATAAATTCCGATAGGTTTCAACCAATGATGAATTTCTTTCTTTTATTGACATCTTCAAAGGGTACTAGTCGATTCTGCTATTAATTCTTTAGTCTGATCGAATTTGCATTTCTGTTGGCTATGATTCAACCTTTTTTTTGGAATATGCCGCCATTACTCCAATTTTTAATTTGATTTCTAACTATAAGTCATTGTACGGACAATATCTTCTAGATACAGTTCTTATACAAGTTTTATGTTTAACCTTAAATTGAGGCATAAAGATTAGTTTATTAAATATAGTAGTTTTTATACAGTTTAATATCATGGTGGAACAGTTTCAATTCGACCTTCTAATATCAAATCCTACTGAATTGAAAAAGCAGTGACATACTCTATTGCAATGTATAATACTGTGGTCAGTTCGTGTTATGAAGAGAAAATGTCACAAAGCAAAACAATGTGGGCCAAGTTTTGAGAGTCTTTCGAGAACTTCTTCTACTTTGACTTCAATGTAATGATGCGTGTCCAGCAACGCCAAGCCGATTAATCTATCTTGAAGCAAATTCGTTCTCAGTCACGTTATCATGCGACGAAGTGTCGAAAAAAAAGTGTTCAGAGCTCGCATACGTCACGGGAAGTGTACAGAATATGAGAAGAAAACTTTGCATTATGGCATAAAGGTTTACAACGCAGTTCTTCAACATTGTCTTTTGATTTTTGCTTCTGCTCGCAATGGCATTGCCAGTGATGAAGTTCACGACGTTGTCATTATCCAAAAGGCCTTTAAATTTATCCATGAAGTAATCAATACAATTTTCTATTTCTTTGGTTTTCAAAGCATTTTTCTGGAAGCAGCAAACTCTGTTGAAATCCATCCAATACTGCTCTAGAAAATCGCATCTTCCAATTTCCATTGATTGTATCCAACAGACGAATGTACATTGTCGCAAGTATTCAAGCAAAAATTATCGCGTTTTGTTTACTTATATTAAATTTATTAAAAATATCATAATAATAAATATTAGTTTTTTTTAATTAAATTAGCTAGCAGAGATCTTGTAGGCAATATAATACAATATTTGTTTTCTTCGGAAAATTTTATTTATGAAATTATAATAATTTTTTTCTTTTTAATATTGGTATTTTGGTACTTAAATCTTATCTACTACTTTTATTCATTTTTGTAAACCCTTTATACTACATTTTTTTTTTTTCAATTGGAAATATCTATCTAACTGCATATAAGCTCATTTCAACCAATTTATTACTAAATTGTTACAGCCAAACTTTCCATCGTTTGTTGGCCAGTTAATCGCCCAAAACGCACTGCAAATTATGATGTGCACTGCTCAAACTTTTCCCATTTAAGCATGCATAGCAAATATAGCAATTGAAATACAAATACGTATAAATTTATACATGTGGATATTTGTTTTTGTTATGCCCTGAAGCCGTAAATATGTATATTAAATTTGCTGCCAACTTCGTAATGCCAAAAAGGAAGATACATATATTATATATGTATAAATAAATGATCAGCGTGACAAGATTAGTCAATTTAGCAATGTTCGTATGTTTGTATACTAGTCGAAATATCGATCTAAAATTTCGCATACTTCTTTTGTTCTTAAAAAGCTGCTCATTGGTCGAAATCGTCGATACGGACAACTGTGGCATACATGTAGCTACCAGACAAACTAAACGCTAGAAATTAAGTTTTGCATGGAAAACTTTTTGAATTGAAAAACTATCTTCATGAAATTTTGAATAAATTATTGTTCAAGGTAACGCCACAATCATTGAAAAAGTTTGAAGAAAAAGAAGTCAGATTGGACCACTATACCATAAAGTATAAGTGAGCAGTAGTAGTAAGCAATGATAACTTCCGATGATTTTTATGAAAGATTTATACTAATTTATTTACTTTTTAAACAAATTTCTTAGCAGACATTAGCATTCTTAAAAGAAGCATTAAATTTATAGCTTACTTTGGCTTAACAGTTAAGCCTAAAGCCAATATAACATATTATTTAAGTCGGATTTGAGAATTTGCGGGCACGTTAACAGTCCAATTCAATTTGTCTATTTCTGCATGTTGTCATAAATTGGAAATATATGATAAAATTCATTGACTTAGTACAATGCAACATGTATACGCATGTAGCGTATGATGAACTCATTCAATGTAACCAGTCAGAAACTCAATTCAAGCTTCGACTTTTTGTTTCGAGAACTTTGCAATATTTTGTTTGCTTTGCTTTGCACTACTTGTAAATATTTTTTGCGCTGCGCGACACAACTTTTTCTCGACTTTTTGTATCTAAATAGCGCAGACTTAGTTAATAAATTGCCACACTTTGCTAAAAAAAAAAAAAAAAAAAAAAAAAACTTTCTCTTCCGCTTTAAAGCACGTAGATTTTCCAGCTTATACAGCCATGTGACGTTATGCGTCCGTTATGTTGTCAATGTTATGTGCTTCATATCGCAGGCGTGCAGTCCATACAATGTGAAGCTGTGAAAATTTTCCACTTTGTTTATTTGTCGCTTGCTATGGCAGAGTTGTGCAGCTAGTTTGAAGTGAGTTAGTTTGTATGTAAATCGCCGCATAGCACTTTTATTGTCACGTCAGCTATAATTGCTGCAATTACTCATTTTGAAAAATCATCAATGTGTTATGCATGTATGCCTAAAAGTCATAAAATCATTGTCATGGTTGCCTGTAACGTGTTATGCAGATAAGTAGAGTTTTGAAGGCTGAAAGGAAGGCATTTCTATATAGTATCGATGTTGATATTATTTTTAGAACACTAGAATTGAAATGGTTCACAAATTATATGAAATGAAAAAAAGGTTAAATTTGGCTGCACCGAAGTTATACCCTTCACAGTAACATATCTCATGGCACTAAGGTGATTAAAGGATATTTATCTTGATTTTGGTCGCTCAGTTTATATGGCAGCTATATGCTAGAGTTGTCCGATATGAACAAATTCTTCGGTGATTGTAGTGTTGCTTTGGAAAATATTCTATGCCAAATTTGTTGAAAATATCTACTCAAATAGAAAAGTTTTTCATACAAAGACTTGAGTTTTATCAGTTTTTATCTGAACCTGCTCCGGGTATAAGAAGA